ACCCACCCACCCATGGTGGACCACCACCCCATGCCGCCACCACCACCCCGGCTGCGGCAGTTGCCACCGGCCGAAGCTCGACAGCAGTAGCAGCAGTAGCAGCAGTAGCAGCAGTAGCGGAGTGTTCGGATCTATGTGGTGGCGGTGTCTCAGTGTCAGGGTGTCAGGCGTCAGGACGGGTCCCATTGATATGTATGTATGTATGTATGTATGTATGTATGTATGTATGTATGTATGTATGTATGTATGTATGTATGTATGTATGTATGTATGTATGTATGTATGTATGTATGTATGTATGTATGTATGTATGTATGTATGTATGTATGTATGTATGTATGTATGTATGTATGTATGTATGTATGTATGTATGTATGTATGTATGTATGTATGTACGTATGTATGTGAGGTATTCGGACTGGGAGGTTGATGTACATCGGATGGTGAACAGGGACAGTGACAGCGGGGTGGGGTGGGGGCTGGGGGTTGAGGTAGAGAGCACATGCGGATGGCTCTACCCAGCAATGCGGCACCTGCAGCAGCGGCCGCGCACGACTCCATATGAGGCTTTTGATGGTGCGTTGCGGCATCATCATATCACCACCATCAAGTTCTACCATGTAATGTCAGCAATAGAAGTAGCAGTAGCGGTAGCAGCAGTAGCAGATCGGGTCAGACGGTGGGTGTCAAACGGCGTCGTACTAGTGTAAAACGTTAGTTGGGTGTCGCTTAGCAGCTCACGTATGTACATACTTGAACTCCCGCCTCTCTCTCTGTCTTTCTGTCTGTCTGTCTGTCTGTCTGTCTGTCTGTCTGCTGTGATGTTGAGGGTGAGGGTGTCTGTGGGGGTCTGTGGATGAGACGCCGGACGACTCTTACAACGGGCCCCTGCCGCCTCGTCCTCGTCCTCGTCCTCGTCCTCAACCGGACCGGACCGGACCGGACCGGACCGGACTGGTCACGGACTGGTCACACCCTCGGTGCCCTCGGTGGTCATCATCTCAGGCACAGAGGTCCCTCAGCGAGATCTGCTCCTCAGCGGCCCCCCCCCGGGGGGAGTGGACCACAGCGCCGCAGGGGCCCCCGGGGGAGGGGGGGCCCGCTCCTCAGCTACTGCTGCTACTACTTGTTTTGCGTACTACAGCTGCAACCAACTAACCGTCACCACCTAACCACCGCCGGTGCCGTTTCATTTCGTCAATGTCATCACCAATCATATGATCGCCAAATGAGGCGCTTTTTAATTAGGCCGATTCATTACATGCCGCTGTACGGAAAGGCCAACTGTAGTTCCGGTTGTACGTCGGTAGTTGGGATCGTTACATAACAAGACGCGGGAAACAGTTGACTGCCCCAAAAGCGACAAAAGCGAGAGGGAGCGGCGAGGTAGCGGCGTCCGCGGGGCAGCAGCGGTTTGATAAAAACCGACCTGACGGATATTTATGCGCGTGTAGGGTCAGTAGGTAGGTAGGTAGGTAGGTAGTACTGTACGGTAATGCCGTCAACTCGTTAAGGAGGGCGGCTGGGTGCGAGAGCACCATCTACCTATCGATATATCTATCCATATATCCGTTCATCTATCCGTCCACGGAAATAAAGAGCTCTTTTGCGCCTCCGGGACGAATCACTCCGCGAGACAGCGAGGCCGCCAACACAACACCGCAACAGAAAGTGCTACTGCTGCTGCTGCTGCTACTTGAATCAGCAGCACCACCACCAAACCCCACGAACTGAGGTCCCAGGTGTGTTTAAGCAGCCCCTCGCAGAAATGTGTCCGGTCGTACTTCGCGAATAAAGCCTAAGTACACTCGTCCAAAAAAAGCCAGGAGCGAATTTTGCCGCGCAGATGCGCGCGTACGATTCGCAAAATGCGCCTGTACAAGTGTATATAAAATTTCTTGGCGGATGAGGACCAGGTGCGCCAGCGCGTTGCGCAGGTGGGCATGTTGGCCATAGCCGCACGCTGGACTATTGCGTGGATGCTTTGCAGTAAATAAAAGCACCTAAAGCCAACGGCGTAGCTTGCAACTCTGGGCTCGTGAAACTGCCGCGGAAGATGAAGCGGTCGGCTAAGAATCAGCCATAAGGCGCCTGCTTTCGGTAGCGCAGCGCATAATGCACATTGTTCCGACTAAACTCAAGTTACACTCTTACGAAATAAATAATAACAACGCAGAATTAGGTAAAGAGAAGAATCGCGAAAGTCGTTCAGAACCTTGCAAGTAAAATGGATGCCGCTGAGGGCTTGGAACAGCTTTTCGCAGCGCATTCGGCCGTGCCTGCGTTAGCCGTGTTGCAGCTACTACGGAAGGACTTGAGCCATCAGCAAGCTCAAATTCTGTTTAAGAACCACAGGCATTGTCTTCAGATGGGAACATGTAGTTTTGGTCGGCGCGGGCGAGCAGCGTACGCATTGCGCACAGGTACCGAGGTGCAGCTCTCAGGATGGATTTCAGCCAACAAAGCCTCAAGATCTGCTGCACAACCACCGGTGTGTCTTCAGTTGGGCACGTGTAGTTTTGGTCGGCGGGGTCGAGCATCGTATGCATTGCGCACAGAAACCAAGGTGCAGCGTCTCTGTAACATCGCCAACATATCCGGTACGCGGTGGCAGGCTTGCCGAGCACGAAATGAAGGGGGGTCGCATCTCACCATTCAACTAAGCATGCATGTGCTCGGTTGAATGCTCGGTAGCATGCGAGTTTACCTATCAGGATGTTTGTTTGCATATATCCCTCCAAGCGAGAGGGCTTGGACCTATGCTGATGTTCGTTACAAGAAGTGAACTGAGGACTGATGCTACACGTCATGTATACGCGTTGCTTAGCTTGCAACGAGACGCGCCCACGATGAAAGCTTCAGCTACACTCACAATACATTATACTGCTACACTATCCTCTCCAGTCCTACCACATTATATTTCACATTATATTTCACCGACGTACTTCCGCACCTTCCACATCACCATACGTGCTTTGGAAACGCGGGCAGCTGCTTCACAAGGGCCCCCATCTTTGGTTAAGCAGCCTCTCGCACAAATGTGTCCGGTCGTACTTCGCGAATAAAACATCCGTACATCGTCCAAAAATTCCAGGAGCGAATTTTGCCGCGCAGATGCGCGCGTGCGATTCACAAAATGCGCCTGTACAAGTGTATATAAATTTTCTTGGCGGATGAGGACCACGTGCGCCAGCGCCTTGCGCAAGTGGGCATGTTGGCCATAGCCGCACGCGGCATGCATGCTGGACTATTGCTTAAACGTCATCGCGTGATCCGTACTCACTACTAACTTATTGTGGGGAAGGCCATTGCGTCTGCGACCACACTCCCGCGGTACCCAAACCCTTCAAAGACAATTCCGATCAGCCATTTGGCTGTTAGTGGGAGGGCGGGTGGGCCGCTCGCACGGCAATCGAGTAGAGAGTACGAAAATAACCTAATGCAGTCATCGACAGCAGAAAACGTAAGCCTCCAGCCTCATGCCGACTCTCTTACCTACCATTCATATTCTCTACCTCGTTCCCAAGACTCCGCCGCGTTGCCTCTAGTTCGGCTCGTGCCACAGGTAACTTCGCTCGTCGCTACTTTGCCATTCACCTTCGCCTCCACCCAGCCTCTGCTTCTCCACAGAAGCGGCGACCTCCTTCGCCGTTGTTACGCCTCGTCTATGCGAATCCTCCTCATCCGACTGTGTCTTCTGCCTACCCGGTGCGCGCCCCCT